TTCTTCAAATTGGCTCTCATCAAAACTAATAAATTTACCAATATAGTTTCCAATCCTCGTAGCAGTTCCTAAATTCATGCCACTATATGGTACATTATGAACGTGTACCCAAAATTCTGCCTCAAACAATTTCATTTTATGGGGTTTATCATCTGGCTAAACCTCCTTAAGGAGTAGCAAATTTCTTTCAAACAACCAAGGAACATCCGCAAGCACACGATTCGTATCCACAACATGGTAAAAAGTACACATATACCTTTTATCACCTATTTCTTTGATGGAGACCCCTCTACCCGGATGTCATATAGAAGCCAACAGATCTTTGAAGACTTGAAATTTGATTTTCCGCTCAGTGAGGACGACTGCAACCACAAGGAATACCTTCCTCCTCCCGGCCGCACCAACCTCTTCGCCTTCCTATTCGTCGAAGTTCAGTTCACTATCCTCTCCTCCAATAGCCATGTGCCCGTATTGGTGCACAATATCATCCATCCAATCGCCTTTGATTTGCTCAAATCCCGCAACCCCACCGACCGACTGTAGCAGCGCTGTGGGGCCTCAACCGTGCTAATGCACCCCCTTAGCACACTGGTCTGGCTAACCTGCAACGTCTATCTCTCAACGAAAGCCCAAGATCTTCCACCTAGAAGCGGCGGCCGTTCTCTGTCTAAGATGAATACAGAGAAATTGGCTCTAGCGACAGAAGCCCTAGAGAGAACGTTTAATTATTTAGTCCTACTAGCGATTTAAAAAACAATGTAGTTCTATTTGTGATTATTGACTACATTTTACTCCTTTTTAGGTAATTAACCCAATGATAAATTCATAACATTTTCGTAATGTCAAACAATAATGTCATCATAAAAGTGCAATAAATGTTGTGCAGTAACATCCGGATAAAATGGAGTATTTTTAATCGAATGAAAATGGTGCAAAATGCACCTTTTTAATGAGGACATTTTCATCTTTCAATTTTTAATAGATGCGTTTTTTATTTATTTTCAGGCATATGAATATCTAAATACAAAACTAATTATGTTTCGGGAAAGTGAATATTTTTAAATTTGCAAAGTTATAGTCATATGTCCTTGAGTTGCTTTTTAAAACCTCTCTTCTTTGGAGAGAGGGGGGAATTCGAGATGTAATAAATGATTATGGGAGTAGAACATTGGGAGTGAGGGAATTGGATTAAGATGGAGATGGAGGAATTCGTCTGGGAAATGAAAACAATAAATGCCTTTGCCCGCCTTCCCAACTGCCAGGCGTTACTGCACTCTGTTATCCTTTCTTCCCTCCATAATAAATTCAGAGCTAAGAGCGCGCAGTGGTGATGGAGCGGGCCAAATCGATGGCGGAAGAGAAGAAGACAGAGCCACTGTTGAAGCCGGACGAGCGAAAAGTAGCCAGCACCGATGATGATGAGAGCTGCCCCGGTTGCCGGGTTGAGCTTCTCAAACGCGCCGACACCGGCGTTCCGGTCAAGCACGTCTTCTTCATCTCCATCGTCACTCTCTGCGCCGGTCCGTTAATTACGTCTACCTCTATACCTAACTTCTCTTTTTTGTCACTTCCACAAAATGCTCGTGATATTTTGGGTCTTTATACTTCGTATATAAAATTTGGTGGTCAATTGATTTTGCAATTTTCCCTCCTAAAGCAATTGCGTTACTCTGTTTATCTTCATAATATGATCATTGATCGATTTAATAACATTCAAGTATGGAATAAGTCTGTAACAAAATAATCAATCTCCTTTCATCTCATTAATGTATATTGAGTATTCCCGTGCAACACACATGTTCATCGTCTAGTAATAAGTCAAATAAGCAGGACATAGAACTCATTTCGTAATTTTGTTTTTCCACTTAATTACTCCGTTCTAATTATTGATTTTGTTCGTTGAATTGTGTAATAATTAAAATAAGTAAGATTAAAGTTACTTTTTTAAATGCATTGGCCAAAGTTATTGCAAATGATCGTTTTAATTATTTTTCCATATACGTAGTATGGAGTATGTTTATTCGTTATTTTATTAATGAAATATTCCATCCGTCCCACAATTAAACTTTTTGTATCAAACTATTATCTTTTGACGGCTAATTATTTAAAAACCGTATTATTTTATATTACCAAAATAATTTTGAATACTTCATTTTAATATATTATTATTGAAATGTTATTTTATTGTAAGTTTTATAAGTGTATATTTTTATACTTCCATAATCAAACGTCGATTTTGGAGACCGTGAAAGTCTATCTGTGAACTTAAATAAGGGACGGAGGTAGTATATTTTAATTATAATAATTTTTTTAAAAATCAACCTATACCTCTAACCATCTATTTCATAAATTTGAGCAATATCAAATCATTAATCAATTTAGATGTTATCAAACATGCTCGTGTGACATCGGTTTTTCTTTGACCTGGGTCAGCTCTGTATTTGTTGGTATCATAAAATTGCTTTTTGGAGAAAAGATGCGCACACACCGAGAATGTACATGAAACAAAATTGAATCATAAATTACTAGAACACACATACTCCCTCCGTCCCATTTTACTTAGTGAGTCTTGATTTTTCAAGTCAATGAAATCTAATTTTGAGCGATTATATGTTTACATAGAGAAAATATTAATAATGTGAAAATGATATGAAAATGTTCTTTGTTAAAAATATTATCATAAAAGTATAAAATCATTAAATTTTGCATAAATATATATTACTTTAAATAATTGGTCAAAGATGATTAAGTAAATTGGGACGGAGAGAGTAATTCTTTGGGTAATTCTTTTTAGTACTTTTGGGCTCCACCAATATTTTATGATTGTTCTCTTTTTGAGTATTTTGTTATTGTTCGAGAATTATAACTATATAATCAGTCCTAACAATTTTTAAAAATGCCATGAGAAAAACGTATCTGTCTACAGCCTACACCGCACCTTACATTTTATTTGCAGAGTTTTTTTCGTAAAATATCACGTACTACATAAAAATCTATGAATAAAAATGTGAATATAAATTACTATGTGTAAGTTTATAATCATTATGATGCAACACATTTGAATATAATTATAATCACTAAAGTTAATAGGGTCACATTTTTGTCTTTACTTTTATTTTGATTGAATATTTGAAATTATTATTTATTTGTATCGTATTGTCGGGGACAATTTGTGTTGTAATTATATATAATTATATACCCAATTATGGTTTAACAATTTGACTTAGCCAAACATTTAGTAGTATTTGGAAGGGTTGGTCATGGTGATCGGTGACCCTTTGAGATGAGAGTGGGGACCACAAAAGTGGACGGCAAACTCAATGGTAAGCCGGAAGCAAGCATCGTGACACCGATACGGAGAAGGTGGACTGCTGAAACGTAGGCAGCTGCATGCTGCGAACTCAAAACGGCATGCTGAAAGCAAGCATCGTGGTCAATGACGCGGAGAAGGTGATTTGCGCCGTATGAGTCGGGTGGCGGCAGTATTAGAGTTGAAAGAGAAAAAATAAATAAATTATAACTCTTGATACCGTGTGAAATAATGAGGAAAATTATTCCAACGAATATGAGAAAAGTTGTCAAAATATAAAATATTTGTAAATAGATATTAGACATATTCTACCATATGAAATAATAGAAAATAGTACTCCAATAAGGATGTTTTTACTTGGACTATGATTTGCTGGTCTGGTCTGGTCTGGGTTGAAATTTTATTTTATATTTTTTGCATAAAGATTTTATTTTTTATATATATTATAATCCATAAATAATTATATTTTATTCATTTATAATTACAAATAACAATAACAATAATAACAACAACAACAACAATAATAATAATAATAATTAGGGATGTGCACTATCCGGTTTAAACTACAAAACCGGACCGAACCGAACCGGAAAAACTGGAACCGGATCGAACCGGAATGATATCCGGTCTGGTTCGGTACGGTTCGGTCCGGTTTTGAACCGGTGCACACCCCTAATAATAATAATAATAATAATAATAATAATTAGGGGTGTGCACTAGCCGGTTTAAACCGGAAAACCGTACCGAACCGTACCGAAAAACCGGAACCGGATCAAACCGGAATGATACCCGATCCGGTTCGGTACGATCCGGTCCGGTTTTGAACCGGTGCACACTCATAATAATAATAATAATAATAATAATAATAATAATAATAATAATAATAATTAGGGGTGTGCACTATCCGGTTTAAACCGGAAAACAGGACCGAACCGGACCGGAAAAACCGGAACCGGATCGAACCAGAATGATATCCGGTTCGGTTCGGTACGGTCCGGGCCGGTTTTGAACCGGTGCACACCCCTAATAATAATAATAATAATAATATGGAGTAATAATAGTAATAATAATAACAATAATAATAATAATATATGGTCATTTGGTCTGGGATGAATTAAAGTCCTTACTCAATACGAGGAAACTTACCAGGTCCAGACATAGCAAGGATTGACAGACTGAGGACCCGCATGACCCGTATGACCCGTATGACCCGCATGACCCGTATGACCCGTATGACCCGTATGACCCTTATGATCTTTATGATCCTTATGATACTTATGATACTTATGATCCTTATGATACTTATGATACTTATGATCCTTATGATCCTTGATCCTTGATCCTTTATCCTTTTCCTTTTCTTGATATATATATATATATATATATATATATATTTATATATATAACCGAGTAGTGCAAACGGTGACCATACCGAAACCCAAGCACCGAAAACACCAACGACGTGGAACGGAGAACCACGACAAAAAACCAAAACCCACATCTAGTAGTGCAACTACTCGTACCGCGCCATTGCAAGCGACCGAAACCGACTAGTGCAAACAGCGAACATACCGAATCTAAGCAGCCGAGAGAGTAAAGCCATGAACAGGAGATCCTCCAAAGTACAAACAACGTGGAAGCACAAATAGATTTATCAAGAGGAGAGTTGCTAAAATATAAAATGTTCCTAAATAGATACTCCGTATTAGGCATCTAAATACAGTGTATTAAAGAAATAAAAGAAGAAATAAAAGAAAACGCCGGCTGCGGAAGTGCGGAACAGAAGAGGGAAAGTAGGGAAGAAGCGGCAGGCAGCACCGCCTCTCCGCCAGCACCGCCACTCCGCCACTCCGCCAAGCTCTAGCATGTCTCACCTCGGACGCCCGGTCACCTGCACTCCGCCACCCCCTTCGGCGATTCGACCAATCGGCCCTTCTCAATTTTCACCTTCCCTTGTTACGCCGCGCAGGAGATCTCTCGGAGGTGACAGAATCCGTATCAAGGAACTTGCTCGCGAAGGACATTTGTGCTTCTGCACAGAATATATTTGGCTGCTGTGTTCTGAATACTGTGTGATTTTGATTGGGCCGAGAGGACTGATTAGCCATGGGAGAAAGAAAGGTTTTGAACAAGTACTACCCTCTGGATTTCGATCCGGCGAAGATTCCACGCCGTAGGCAGCCGAAGAATCAGCATATGAAGGTCCGGATGATGCTCCCAATGAGTGTTAGGTGCAGTACTTGTGGCAATTACATATACAAGGGCACCAAATTCAACTCACGCAAAGAAGGCGCCCTGGGTGAGACCTATTTGGGTATACAAATATTCAGGTTCTACTTCAAGTGCACAAAGTGCTCTGCGGAGATTGCATACAAGACAGATCCAAAAAATTCCGATTATGTTGTTGAGTCAGGTGCAACCAGGAACTTTGAACCTTGGCGAGACCAAGATGAGGTTTTGGATAAGAGAAACAGAAAAGGGAGGCTGAAGAAATGGGTGATGCTATGAAATCTTTGGAAAATAGGACCCTGGATTCAAAAAGAGAAAAGGATATTCTCGCAGCTTTGGATGAAATGAAATCCATGAAGTCAAGGCATGCAACTGTGATTGTGGATGCAATGCTTGATGTTCTGAGAGACTCTACCGAGGAAAAGGAAAGAAAAAAGGAGGAAGAAGAGGAAGCTCTTATTAAATACTTATTCAAAGGAGAGAGAGAGAAGTTCATAAAACTAATCCGTGATGAAGATATCGAAGATGAGGACGAAGATGATGAGGATATAGATGTAGTTAAACATAAAAGTGGAGAATCATCAATCAATTTTCTTAAGAGAAAGCTGCCAGAAGAAATAAGCAGTAATCCTACAGATGTCTTTGCAAAATCCATTGCCAGTGACGGAAAAGATAAAGCAGTGAGAAAAGGGGATTCCAGTAAAGAGAATTATTTTCAAATCATCATCAGTTAAAGTGGCTATTGTGAAGAAGCAGCAGCCAAGGGAGCCAACAAGCCTGAAAAGCAATGTATTAGGATCATTGTGTCAAGAATATGAAAGTGATGAGGATTATTAGTTGGTCCTCTGCAACACTTTCTCAAAACCGGACCAGGAATACCGGGTTAGGAATAGACATAAATTCGGTTCATCCCTACACTGCTACAAACTTTTGCCATAAATTATTTTTCTTTGGCAAACAAGAAACATAATGTAATCCCTTTGTTTAAATTCTAAATTGTGTACTCTCAATGTGAATTAGAATTATAAATTTAACTATGTCAATTCACTCAATTGTGTCATTAAAATAATACAAAGTATTCCTAAATAGATATTAAACAAATTCCTAAATAGAAATTAGGCTATTAGTAAGTTCAATCTTGCTTATTTTTATTATTATGTAATTCAATGCGTGAAATCAAATATTGGTAAAAAATAGTGGTTACCAAAGGGGGTCTCTCAAATTTCAAAACACAAAATACATCCTACCGGACTATATGCACTACAACTAGAACTTGTGTAGACAGCAATAAAAATTGTAATGCCATTGTAATCTTAAAGGGGTGTATTGAACAAGATGTGACTATATTACTGTATATAATAATTGGACTCAAATGCCATTTTAAATTCTTGATCATACTTTTTTTGTCAATGCACCATAAATTAACACTAACTCTGAGTTCAACATTGGATGGTGTAATGGTATAAGGTTTGATTTTTATAATTAGCACTTGTTGTTAGAGCCTATTTTATCGTAACTTTTATATGTCCAGTCTTACGTTAGTACATACTTTTGGTTTTTTTTTGCAGCTCTGCCAATATCATCTCTCTTTCCTTTCCTATATTTCATGGTAAGATTATTACCAAAAAATAATATTTCATGGTAAGATCTTAGATCTAAGGAATGAGTCTAGCTCAAGTGATTTAAACAATTTTTTATGAGATTTTTCTGAAATTGTCATAAGAATGTTTTCAAAGAGCAGAAATACTCCTTCCTTCCCACAAAACTATTAAACTTTCCTTATATTCAGTTGTTCAAATATGCAGTTAAATGATTTTATCTCTTCTCTCTGTAAATCTCAATCACAATTTTCTTCTTCCTATATTATGTGTATATCAAGTTTGATCAAATTTTATGAGATAGATGTAGCACTTTCTGCACCATCATAGTCACTTTCACTATCACTATCATTAAAGAGCCCAATGTTAAGTTATTATTAAAGAGCCAAATCTTAAGTTATTATTAAAGAGCCCAATGTTAAGTTATGTCACGTTGATACAAACCAATAAAGCTTTGAGTTACTTCATCTGATTGATATTTTAGCATGAAACTCCATTTCTATAAGAGCAATTAAGTTTGTACGAGCCACATCCTACATCCTAAGTGCAAAGAATGAGCACATGAACTTGAATATTAGAATGATCTACTCCAAGAAGTGTAGAATGGAACCCAAGCTTCTATTTTTTTTTGGGTTTTACGTAATTATTATTGTGTTAACTACTTAACTCTCACAAGTAGTTATGCCAGTTTTAATTTTAATTTTGGCAGGTTAGAGATTTTAACATTGCAGAAAGAGAGGAAGATATTAGTTATTATGCTGGATATGTCGGTTAGTAGTTCTTGGTCCACTGTTTTAGAAAATTCCCGCCAAATGCTAAACTGAACAACCTTCTAGAATCTTCAACTTCTTAACATGATAGTTTTGGCAATGTTACCACAGGCTCATCATTCATGCTGGGAAGAGCTTTGACATCTGTTCTTTGGGGTATCATTGCAGATCGATATGGCAGAAGGCCTGTCGTTATGATTGGCACACTTACAGTGTTAGTAAAGTGGGGTTTCCACCCATATTAGTAAGATAGTTGGATTCACAAAGAATGTGATAACTTTTAAATTAATCTAAAAAAAGACGAAAGATGTCACTGTTAACATGTCACACTCATGACCTTCGTCTCTAGTGACACCGTCGCCGCCCCACATGTCAGGCAGCAGCAGTGGCGCTTGCTGCCAGCGATAGTGACACTTCAAAGGCTGGTGTGGGAGGGAGAAAAAAGTATAGGGATAGAATTTGTTTCAGAATTATTTAGTCCTATTTTGGTTACTTTTCTGAAAATATTAAAAGTTGTGGTCATTTTGTCATGGAAAAGGTAGAGATTATATTTGTTTGGGTCATACTTTCTCGTAATATTTGTCTTAAAAACAATCAATTTCAGATATTCCACACACATTTTTTTATGATAGTATTTTTCCTTTTTTCTAAGCCTTCATGTTTATGAAATGATTTACAGGGTTGTATTCAATACCCTTTTTGGCCTAAGTTCAAACTATTGGATGGCAATTGTTACAAGATTTCTTCTTGGAAGTTTGTGTGGAATAATTGGTACCATGAGGGTATGTTTGGTATCACTCTTGGAAATTTCAGTGTCATCAATACAAACAGTTTTTGTTGTTGTTATAGTATGACCAATAACCATGTTTGATCACATTCCTTCTATAGGCATATGCTTCTGAGATTTGCCGGAAAGAGTATCATGCTTTGGGCATATCTGCTGTAAGTTGTTGCTCATATTCCCCTGTGGTTGGTTCTATTGATAAAGTAGTCTAATGCAATGTTTTATATTCCCCCGCTAGTGGGGGCCATACTAGACTCGGCCTACCCCAAATTCAAAAAATGCTTTGAATTTATGTGTAAAATGTTTATGTAAAAGTTTATTTGATAAAATCCTTTGTATCGGCTCAGCCCACTATATCCTCCGGGGTACGCCACTGCTCCCGTATGTCTTTACATTTATATGTGTGACTCTTATAGAGTTATAGTTACAATTAGTATGGTGTTCCAGGTGAGCACATCTTGGGGTATAGGTTTGGTGATTGGTCCTGCTATTGGAGGTTATTTTGCACAGGTAAAATATGTTTTCCCTTTGCTAACTCTTGCTGCCACTATGTTTAATTATTTTGTTCATCTTGGCTTTCTAATTACTGATTTGTTTTTTACTTTTATAAAAAATAAAACAAATTTCAAGCCTGCAGAGAAGTACCCAAACATATTTTCAGAAGAGTCATTTTTTGGGAAGTAAGCTATGTTTATAGTTGCTCTTTTAAGTGTATCTATATAGTTGTTCCCCACTTACCTGTTTTTTTCTCAGCTCAGCATTTTGTTTTTACCACTTTCCAACTTGCAGATTCCCTTACTTCCTGCCTTGCCTTATGATATCTGTGATTGCATTGGTTGCGTCAGTCGTTTCCCTTTGGCTTCCGGTATGATTCTTTATACCTCTCTTACTATGAATAAATGTCCCACATTCAGAAAATATATAAATCAATCAGTATATAATGCTACATGATCAATTAGGTAATTGGTTAGATTTCATCTTTTAGGGTTCCGGTAGCTGGAATCGGTCCAAACCAGTTTCAATTTCTCTAAAAAGGACCGGAATCGAACTGTTCCAGATGCTTTTAATTGTTACATTTTATGAAGAATAAGCGAAAACCCCGGATATGGAATTGGTTTACATGGTTAAGGACTTAAGATGCTGATCTCTCTCACCCAGAACCAGCTAGTCTGGGACTAGCCCTGAACCAGCCGGGTCCACCCTATTTTTGAGTATGAGCTTGACCCATACACATAATTATGACTCAATCTCTACATATTGATTTAAATCAGGAAACGATGCACACTCATACGAAAGGAAACAAACAGGGAGATGTTTCCATGTATCCTAAACAAGAGGCTCCAAGTTCACAGAAAAGCCTTATGAAGAATTGGCCCTTAATATCATCTATTCTTGTCTATTGTGTTTTCCAACTTCATGATATAGCCTATTTGGAGGTACGAGAAACTAGTTTTTGTGTTTTTTAATGAAATTATGATTGTTAAATACGGTTATCTTTTTTCTTTTTCCCCTGAGAACTCCCGGTGTCCGATGTTAATCCACCACACAAACTCACATATAAGAATTTGAGCTACTCCTTCTACATTAACATTTCGGGGTGGAACTTAACTACTAATAGGGTCTAATAGGCTCTCAGATCAAATTAAGTTCAAAAGTACAATCAATCTAAGACCTCTAAAAGAGTACACTGATTATAAGATTTTTGTGTGTTCCAATGAACTGTACGTAACTGCATTAGACCCGCCTTACTATCTTGATTTCTTCTAACTTGAGAAATTCATCAGATCTTTTCTCTGTGGGCTGTTAGTCCAAGAAAGATTGGGGGGTTGAGCTTTACAACTGCAGATGTTGGTCAAGTCTTGGCTATTACAGGTACACAAGTACATAACAACTACTACATGACTACATACATAAAAATGTTCATTCTCAAAGTAATTTGTTGTTTCATGTATTAACTGTACTTAATGGTCCTTAAAAGTAAGAAGCAACTGATTTTTTATTGTATTGCTTCTGCAATGCAATATTCTTGTACTTCTAGGCATGGGACTTTTACTCTTTCAGCTTTTCATTTATCCGTTGGTGGAGAAGCCGCTTGGGCCTGTCATGATATCACGCATTGGAGCAGTATGCCCCTTACCATGCCTAAGTTTCATTTTTGTTGTTGCAAAATGGTATTTAAAATTGTTGAATAATAACTTATTACTTTTTCTTCCATCATTTGCAATGGAGCCAAAGATTCATTATTTTTTGGCTTGAGATTATGATGGAATAAAGCAAAATGGCTCACTAAACTGTCTGCGCTTCTTTGTTATGAAGTAACAGTCAGTCCATGCAATTTTGGACGGGATTTTCACTATGGGTCATCCGGAAACAGTCTCTCTGTGCTTTAGTACAGGGGTAAGACGGCGTACATCCGACCCCCCCTTACCCCACCGTAGGTGGGAGCCTTTTCGGCATTGGGGTAAATGAAAATGAAAATGAAATAACTTATTACTTTTATTGGTATGACTTTGAGCTAACAAGTAACAACTTCGTAATATCTATAAACAATTAGAATATTTCTGATCTATAGAGAACTGGTGGACTTCAACCTTAAAAGGATTACAAAACAATTACTCATATAAAACAAAGAAAACTATGAAAATTGTTTTACTATATCTATACTTGAACGAATCTCTTGATCATATCCAAATCCTGTTCTGTCAAATCCCATAGTATTTATTAAGGAGTATTATTCATTTTATTTGTCTTTTGGGTTTGATGCAGGCTCTAAGCATACCATTGCTATCAAGTTATCCTTACGTAGCTATGTTATCGGGTTTGGGGCTCTCCCTAATCCTTAATTGTGTGTCGATGCTTAAGAATGTCCTATCTGTAAGCACTTATACCAAATTTGCGTCTCAAAACATTGCCTATCATTTGTTTCTCACACACATTTATGATAGTCCATTAGTCCTTCAATCTTTATACCTGAATAAAATATTTATCTTGTGCTGTCCAGGTATCGATCACTACGGGGTTATTAATACTTCAGAACCGGGCAGTTGTAAGTAAATACTGGTATTTTTTAAGAAATGTGATTGTATTGGACTACTCATAATCTCATATAAATCATCAAGGTTATGACTTGCAAACACGTGCTTTCTAAAGATAGGTTTGGTTAGAGGTATAACTTTGAAATCAATTTTCAGTGTCAGGAGCAGAGGGGAGCTGCCAATGGGATTTCAATGTCTGCAATGTCACTTTTTAAAACAATTGGTCCTGCAGCTGGTGGTTCTCTGTGAGTTGTTTCCCTTGTTCTTCTGCCCTCTCAATATATAGATAATTATCTTGGAATGGCAAGTGTGGAGGAATGTGGGTAAACATAATTAAACTAAGAATGATTAGCTTAGTATATCTCCAACTATCAGCAGACTCACAAATCTATCATATTCTTTATCTTTGTAAGAAATTCAAACTTCATTTTTTTTAATAATACTTTTCTGTCATGGTTTTTCAAAATAAAAATCATACCAATACTAATACTTTTTATATACTTTTAATTAAATAAAAACTCTTCCTGCGCCATCAACGGGCAAGATTTATCAGCCTTGTCAATAATCCCACACAAGAAACACAAGCTTGGAAGTTTCCCATTTCTAAAATCCACAAAAACGCAATCACATTCCTCTTCCGAAGCTTCATTTAGCATTTGAGCGGCTTCACTATATCAATCAAAACACGTATACGCATGTAAGCCTTTCATGCCCCACCAAAAGTGTGCTCATCCCCACAAACAAATGCTCCAATAAAATCTCATAGACCCTTTGCTACACCATAATTTGATTAGTCCTACCTGTCCTACATAATTGTCATCAAAACTATATATTGGAAGACTAAAACAGAAAAACTCAAATACTAATACCAAAAGTGTCTTATAATATAAGAAAACTACGAAGATTAAAACATACATATGAGTATAACACTTCTGACTAACCATTTCAAACATTTTGTTTTTCAGATTATCATGGTCACAAAGGCGACAAGATGCCAAATTTATGCCAGGTAAGCCACCAACTAATGAAACTGGATAATAATATCTTAAAGAATAATATGTAATGTAATGTAATGGTTTGTTTATTATGATAATAATGCACGTGCAGGGGATCAACTGGTTTTCTTCGTCCTAAATGTGATTGAGTTGCTGGGGCTGGTTATGACCTTGCGGCCGTTTCTCCGTCTACCAGACGAAACTTCGGATTTAAAACACGATGAGGTGGGCCAAGATAACGATGCACAAGAGATAATTCCATTGCCTGAACTACCGTAGTTCTCGAGAAATAATATGGACTTTTAGATGACCCCGTTATAAAGTCATACGATATACAATATATGTCATCGGTGCATCACCACAACCATTCATTTTCACGATACGATCATCTATTGTAATCTTACTATAAAATAAACAACTTTTACAAAGCCATATACGAAGTATACTCTATTGGCTTCTCCGGTACAGAGACCCTCGCTCTTTGGTCCGGAGCAGTTCTGTCCGAAGAGACCCATGCGGCCTTTTGGTTCCGGAGCGAACAGAACACCTCAAGGTATTCTGTTGGGGAGCGACCAGAGAATGTATTCTGTTGGGCACAACAGAACCCCTAAGCCTTTGTTGCGTTTAACAGCTTCCTAGATTTTTTGTAGTAAATTCACGCTAGAAGCCTTATTAATTGGTGCATGGCATATGCCAAGAGCTTTTAGGTTTCGTATTCGTTCCTTCTTTAGTTCTTTTATCATCAAATGCATTGTGATCATCATCATCAAATCTAGAGCCTCTCAAAAACTTTTATTACTTCGTACTGAAAAAAAACAGAGGGAGAGCAACTCAGCAACTTATGAGGTTGATTTCGACTTAAAAAATAATGTTTGGTAATCGGAACATATGGCAATTAACATTATTTATTGAGAAAGTTTTTTTTTTTTAAATGAGATTAAAACATAAACAAAATGTACAAAAAGACTACTTTTGTTTTCATTAAAAAGTAAGACTCATTCACTTCTAAATTCTAATTGAGAAATTTTATACTCCTAAAATAGGATCAAATAATTATTATTTTTAGCATAAAACATAGTTACTCCTATTTAGAGACTTTGTCTATGTTTTAGTTTAATTGAAAGAATTTCTTTTATTTATTCGATTGTGGAGTATCATTTAATCAATTTATTATAATCTTGGAGGCTTTTGGTGGGTAAGAAATTAAGGATTTGATCGAATGTGATGGATTATGAAATACTCCGTATGTATTAAAAGTCTGAGTAATTCCACTCTTAGGCCTATAAAATTTACGTCGATTTTACATTTCTTTGATTTTGTCTTCTTTTAATACTTGACTAATGTTTCTTGATCCGTGACAAATGTTTCTTGATCCTTTGTGAGATCCTTCCGTCCAATTTCTTGACATTTCTCCGATGGCGTTAACCACCGGAAATATCGACAAAAGGACAACTACAACAAAAAAATGTACTACATATAAGTCATCTGTGTACAAATAACTAATAACTACAGATGGAGATTTATTTGTGTGCCTTTGTACAAAAACATAAACCGATTTCTATGCGCCTACATTTATTGATGGACTCGGGCCGGGCCTAGGCCCGGTCGGGCCGCCGGGTTGTATGACATGGGCCCGGGACCGGCCCGAGGGTTGGACGGGTCCGGTTCGGGCCACCCGCCCGGGTCACGGGTCGGGTCCGGTTCGGGCCGGGCCGGTTATTTTTTTTTTTATAATTTATATTTTATAGTTTATAGTTTTATACGAGTATTAAAAACAAACTTCAATTGCATCTATTTGAAATGAAATAGGAACTACATTTGAAAATTAAAACAAACTTTAAGAGAGAAACATTTTGAAAATTGTAATCAATCGGAACTTCCCGCACCTCCCGATCCTTTGGCTTTGTCACATGACTTCATATGCTTGATTGCCATCCCGAATCCGCCTGAAACCCCCATGCTACATTTTTTCTCGCAACATTTGCAAATTGCGTACCACATCCCGGTCTTCGGGTCCTTCTGCTTATCAAAATTATACCGTATAATGGCATCTTGATTTTCCATCTTAACTTCTTAAGTATAAACTATAAAGTAGATATATAAATAATAAATATAATATATTGGAGAATAAGAGAATTAGAGAGTAGAGAGTTAAGAATAGGATTTAGGAAGAATTGGAGAAGAGATATGAAAAAATGTTTAAGATTAGGAGTATTTATAGGTTTTTTTACCCCCCACCCCCCACCACCCCCCACCACCCAACGGCTATATAGCCCACCCAACGGCTATATAGCCGTTTGGGTTGTCCCCAGCCCCACCCCCAACGGCTAGTAGCCCAAGAACCATTTTTTTTTAAAATCTTAAGACCGGACCCGGGCCCGGGCCCGACCCGGCCGGGCCGGGTCACATTAATCCAGCACCGAGCCCGCCCCGCCCATTCCCACCGGTTCGGGTCCATACCCGATCCCGGACCGCCTGACCGGGCCGGTCCCGCACAGTACCGGGCCGGGTCACGGGCCGGGTGGCCCGAATCGAATCCACCCCTACCTACATTACTTGTTTGTAAACAAACAATTTGTATATTTTTTTCTCTGCTTAACAATTTCGTCTAAGCCACATACACTCTACAAAACTAGTGTCTCTATAAAGACAATGTTTTCCGACGAATTTTCAACGACTCTCGAACTACATTATTTTCGATCCTAGAAGATGATAATGGTAAAGATGATGTTGGTAATATGGAAGGTGACAAAAAAGGCGGGTGATGAATACGGTGAGATGGATTGAAGCGGAAGACGATGAAGATGAAGATAGTGAAATGTGAAATGAAGCGAGGAAGATGAAAGATCTTTAAGATGAAAATGACGAAGTGAATGCGAATGCGATGAAAATAAAAGAAAAAGGGGGAGTGAGATAGAGAAAACCACAGGGATCAAAGAGTAACCGAATATACCGTAAATGGTAAAATTAGAATATTAAAAATGTTAAATATTTATAATTTGTGCTAAGTTTGTACTAAGATAATGTAGGAATAACATTTTTCATCTGTACATCTAGTAAGTGGTGTGGATATTGGTGTGTAGACAGAACAATTTGGTTTTCTTTATCAGCTAAAAAATGGAACTTGTAAGCCCCACTCAGGAGGAGCAGAATTGTGGAGCTAAAAAATGGAACTTCTACTGCACCCCATTGCGGAGTTCGTTATTGTGACACTGGATACTCGTGTCAGTCTGTGGGAGATCGTATGGGAAGATCATATTATTAGGAATTTAATCAAATGGCCAACCCTAGAAGGACGCCATTTTCCGTCTCCGGCAACAACCACCAACTGCCAGTCTCCTCCACCCAAGCCCCGCCGGCGCTTGTGAACTCATTCTCGTCGTTCCTGAAGAAACCGCATGCTTTCCCTTTCTTGCTCTCTTTCTTCCTTCTCCTGACCTGGGTCTCCCTCCGATTCCAACGCTCCTCAGATCATCTCCGGCCCAGGGAGTTAGGACCCGGATCGAAGGGACACCGTCACGGATCGTCCAGCGAATACCGTTTCGCAAACCTCTTACGCTTCTCTGCATCTTCTCCGCTTATTGCCAAGGACAAGCGCGGATGGATGTTCAACCCCATTTCAATGGCCCTCGATTCTGCTATTCCAGGTCTCCTCTTCCGTTTTTCTTGTGTTTTTTGTATGTAATTATTCTGTGCATCCTGGTTCTCTCACCCATGTTAGAAATTGAATTGAATCGCCTGATGCAATTAATTACCTTTAGTGTATAATTGGATTGTCTTTCAATGGGAAATTTTACTACAGAGTAGTTATTAGATCTTCCTGTAGCATGAACAATTTAGGGTTTAGTTATGTTGTTCCATTCTGTCAATTTTTGTGTGCAAAGTTTGTCTGCCAAGTGATTTGATTTCCAAGTTAAATTTGATTTGAGGCTTTTTTATGGAACCTAACTTGCATGGAAATGAAATGTTTGTCAAAACAGGCGGAGCAACAAGTTGTGCATCCATTCATGTGGGTGAGATCAAGCCCGGTGGTTTAAGGGGGAACCATAGGCATCATACGTGCAACGAGACATTTGTCATATGGGGAGCTCAAACACTATTCCGGGTAATAATATCTTGCTTCATTATCATATTACGTAGTATTATTTTGGTTGCTGTCTATTTCAGTATGAACACATGGAGTAAAAAAGAGTTTTGTGGATTGTATGTTGGATCCATAGGTTTAGTTGTCCGTATTACTAGACTTAATTACTTACTGGTTGGAGATAGTTTTTTTAAGGCATTGATGCCAGCTCTTGTCCTCAAGACCTGATAACTAGAGAGATATCACATCAGTACTAAACTTTGTGTATGTCTCACATGTATCTAAATATTTTTTCGAGATATATTTTGACACCAGTGTATAAATGTTAAGGTCTTCAAAGAAAAACTAAGAATTATATTTGAATCTGTTCTCACCCAAAAAAATTATGACATCCTCAGATTCTTCCTGTCTTCATGTTTTTATTTTGTTTACTTTTATGTTTTTGCATCTCTGGAAAATTCCAAAGTATTAAGTATACTAAAGTTCAAAAAATATACATATATCTCTTCTTCTCATGGGCTTGTGGTTGATGACTCATACTCATAGTATAAATGAGAGTATTTATTTGTACATTCTGGGATATATATCAAATTCTCTTCATAAATATTCTTGGTATTTAATTCACTTGTAATTTTAATGGTTATGAGTAATTTATATCTTCACATAATATTGGTCAATGTTTCAATCCAACAACTCGTAGTATGTATTTCTTGTTGTTATTACAAAAATCAGTTGGTATATAGAACAACTTTGTACAACTTCAAATATATAAAAGTAATTAGCATTACATTTATGTTTAATGTTATACTAAAAACAATATAAGAGACACATAACAATTAAAAAAAACATGCCATGAATCAGGGGCGTAGCTAGGGGAGGCCCAGCCCTGGCCCAGCCCAAATTTTAAAAATGTCTATATTTTTAGTGTAAAAAATTCCGTGTATTTTTTTTAAATATTCTTTGTACTAGCCCAGTCTTGCCATGAATGCATGTGATATAATGTATCATGGTGCCACTGCCAACTAATCTATGTCTCACTGACTTTATGCATATTCTTATGGACAGTTAGAAAATAATGCAGTAGAAGGACATTATGCTGAGGTTATAGTTGGTGGGGACGAGGTTGCCGTTGCGGTAAGCCCTAGTGGAACAGCTCATGCTCTCGTTAATGTAGACCCTTCCCGAACTACATTCTTCATCGGGTGCCAGGATAGCATTGTTAACTACACTGACTCTAGGACTGATTTTAATATTTGGAATAATCTATAATCTCTTCCTTTGTATGTCAAGTTCCCTTTATACATATACGTTATACACCGAGGTAATAGTTTTGACCGTTTCTTCTGATACTTGGTTTTTGAGATAACAAACACAACCAATGTACATGAAGGGAGGCTTGCTGCTCCATACAGCTCCTGTGGCTCTGGCTCATTACCTCATTTTTGCATTCCACCATCGGAATGCGTCTTTTTGGGGTTACTTGATGTATGAATGCTTTTGATTAGTGTCTATTTGGGTTTATTAACTAAAATTAGCGTTTGCTCGAATATTAAAGTCATGCTCTTTTTTATAAGAGACTATTATATTATACTCTCTCCGAGTCTCTTCAAACTTTGTCAAGTTTGACTAGCACGAACAATAATAAAGTAAATAATGTGGTTGAGATATGTGCAAAAGAGAGAGAAATAATAAGAACCACAAATTAGTTGATTAAAAAGGAAAGTAATAACGTTTTTGGGACATCTCAAAAATGAAGATGACAAGGTTTTAAGAGACAAGGGAGTATGTGAGATTGATATGAGGATTTTTAAATAATGTACTCCGTATAAAATTACCTTAAACTTTTGATGAATTCGATCAATTATATTCTCAATTCGCCAACTACTGGGTGGAAATATTGCCTATGTTTTTTAAAGCTACATGTTTTTGGTTTAATTATGAAATAATTGTAGTGATAGCAAGATTTTATAATGAACTGTGAAACAATGTTATTGAACACACTAAATTATGTGATATTGAGCTAGTATATACGATGGTATAAGTGTAGATGTTCAGTGACTAGGTGAGTTTAGAAATATTAAAACTTTTTTCAATTATCGGTGGTCTACAAGTAAGGAGATATCCTGTCTACTGTCTAGGATTGGTCTATATCTTGTGGAGTTGTATGCATACTTTTTTTGAGTAGTTTATTTTATGTGCTTTCAAAGGTTATGCTATTCTGTGTCCTACTTAAAACAAATACTCCCTCCGTCCCTAATCTTTCTCCCTTTTCGGCTGGGCACATTTATTAAGATAGTGGGATTTGTGTGGTGGAGAATTGTGCAGAGGAGAGAGAAATGTGTAAGAGTGTGTAAGAATGGTTGTGAACCACAAATTTTTTGTTAAAAGGGGGAAGAGGAGATAATTTTGGGACGGACGAAAAAGAAAATTTGAAGATAATTTAAGGACGGAGGTAGTACTACGGGTCAAGAAATATATAATCATACAATGAAGTTATTACTATTTCAAATGGGTTCTTCTCTGGACTTGGAAGGTTAAAAATGCAGGGCTCTTATCCCTAGGCTCCTATCCCTATTTATAGTACTCTATGTTGAAAATATTTATATCCAAAGTGCAAACTAATTATTTAGATCACCACTCTAGAACTCTTAACATACTTCTACTCTCTTCCGATCCATTAGAAGGTTCCACACATATCCATAATATTCTACGTGGTTCCAAACTATTCCACAAACTTTTAGAGAGTTTTATAATTCTCTAGATTTGTCTTTAATATTCTAGAAAATTCTACACTTTTCAATAAGGTTATAATTTTTTTAGATACTCTAGCTCTAATAAGGAGGAATGGATCCCAACATAAAATAATGTCTATATATAATATGGGGATTGACTATGATTACGACTATTTAATCGTTTCAAGATGTTCATATTGCTCATGTTAGTATTATACATTTATACTAATGTGCATAATATGCCCTAGAAAATATGTAGTTAAATGTTGTAATGAACATTTAATACTACATGAGCAATATAAAAATTGGAGAAGTGGAGGTTAAAACCGCCGCGCATAGAGAAATATACCCCTTTCTGTTCCAAAAGATCTTGACACTTTGACTTCACAGTTTTTAAGGAAATAAATTTGATTTTACTGTAGAGTACACTGTTTGACACTGTTTGTCACTGTTTTGTGTAGATTTATTTGACAAATAAGGCAAATAAGCAAGTCTAAAGATAATTGTGGTACTGATAAAAATGGAAAGTGTAAAGATCTTTCAAGAATCGGAGGGATTACAATTTTTACCTAATATGAGACGGAGGTAGTATGCTATTTGCAATAGTGGATGAGATCATGAGAAATTATTATTATGACTACATCTAAAATCATTCTTTGTAGCATTAGCATTAATCAACATTGCGACCTATTACAAAAATTGATATGATTTGTTTTATTTTCAACGTTATGAAAAGTTTTGTAAGGTTGTACGTAGGGATGGACCCGGGCCGGTCCGGTTCCGGGACGGGCCCGGGCGGGCTTTTTTTGCAAATCCTTGGGCCCGGAACCGGCCCGGGTTGATACTGGGTCCGGGCCTAACCGGGCCGGGCCCGGTTCAATGTCTATTTTTTTTTGCTTTCTTGTTATCCCCCGACCCCCCCCCCCCCTCACCCCCACCCCAAAGCTCCCCAAAACACCCAACCCTACCCTAGGAAACGAAAAAAATTGAAAAAAAATTGACCCGGGCCGGTTCGCCCAAAACTGGGCCCGAGCCCGGCCCGCCCGGCCCGCCCAAACGGGCTAAAAGACCTGAACCGGCCAACCGGTCCCGGTCCGGTCCGGGCCCGCACAGTAGCGGGCCGGCCCGGCCCGGTTTAGTCCATCCCTAGTTGTACGGAGTATTTTATTGGACCGATTTCCTAATCTGGTAGATGACTGGTTTATGTGTATCTTACAAGTTAAACATCCTAACTCCAACTTATTAAACTCATATAATGAAAGAAATCAAATAAAAAGTTTTATTTTCTTTCTAATTTGTCCTTGTAGTGTCACTTGTGTGCTTGTGTAAATACTGTTACTAGCTATACGAATATACGATATCATTTTCTTTAACAGAAATTGCACCCGCAAAGTACTTATCTGTGCAAATTAAAACTCTCACCAAATATTTTGAAAACAAAACTGAAACAGTATGTGGTAATGTGGGTACAAATAAATAAATAAATAAAAGTATAAGTGTGCATGGATTCATATATATAAATAATTCAATCCACAAGGGACGCCATGCATGCACCGGCCGGCCGCGTCAAGGGCATTAGGGATGGACTAAACCGGCCCGGCCCGGCCTGGCCTGGCCCGCTACTGTGTGGGCCCAGATCGGACCGGAACCGGTTGGCCGGTTTCGGGCTTTTAGCCTGTTCGGGCGGGTCGGGCGGGCCGGGCTCGGGCCCAGTTTTGGGCGAACCGGTCCAGGCGGTTCGGGCCGGGCCCGGGTCAATTTTTTTTTCCTGTTTTTTCAATTTTTTTTCTTTTCCTAGGGTAGGGCTAGGTGTTTTGGGGAGGTTTGGGGGTGGGGTGAGGGGGGGGGGGGGTCGGGGGATAACAATGAAGCAAAAAAAAAATTAGACATTGAACCGGGCCCGGCTCGGCCCGGTTAGGCCCGGACCCGGCTCGGCCCGGACCCGGTATCAACCCGGGCCAGTTCTGGGCCCAAGAATTTGCAAAAAAAGCCCGCTCGGGCCCAGTCCGGAACCAGAACCAGACCGGGTCCATCCCTAAAGGGCATCATAGACGGTGGCGGATCCAGGAACACGAAATACAAGTATTGGGGCATAACAAAGAGAGAAAATGGCGTGCATGTTAAAAAAATAGGGAAAAGTACGGAAAATGTATTTGTGTTTGGACCCGTTTTCAGATAGGGTCATTTGTTTCATTCTTTATCAAAGTAGTTCATGTGTTTGAATTCCGTTATCACTAGAGGGTCACACCGTTAAAAACGTCTGAAAAAGATCGTTAAAAGTAACTCCGATTTTCAAAAGTGCCCGAAAAATTAAAAGAAAAATACCGAAAGATGCGCCTCACCAAAATGATCTCCAAACCACCTTCGCCTTTGGATTTTTCAGATCTGTTCGAATTATTTTATTTAAAATGATTTCGCTAATATCACTTTTTCGATTGACTTTCCGGTGACAAGGGTGGCTGAAAACAAAAAAGAGAGATGGCCTAGCGGTCATCTTTTTGAGACGCACTTTTCATTATTTTTATTTTAATTTTTCAGGCATTTTTGAAAATCAGAGTTACTTTTAACGGTTTTTCAGACGTTTTTAACGGCGTGACCCTCTTGTGATAACGGAATTCAAACATATGAACCACTTGATAAAGAATGAAACACATGACCTTATCTAAAAACGAGCTCAATCACAAGTACCTTTTCCGTATTTCCCAAAAAAATACTACATGCTTAATAAAATATATCCAAATAGCAAAAATTTGTAATATAGTACTTAATCACAATTGCTCACATCTTTGGAAAGAGATCTAATATAATTTTATTTGCACCCCGCTTTTTGGGTGATATTGGACTCTGCACCTCATTTTAAAAACTTTTAGACTTTGTGCCATATCTTCCATAAAAAGTCTTTGTATTTGCACCCCATCCAGGAATTTTTCTTCACAAAATGTTGTATGATAGGGTGTATAGTTTAAAAGTTTTGAAAATTGAGCGCAAAGTCCAATATCTCCTAAAAAGTGGGATGCAAAGTCAAAATTCCCCAAAGAATTATCGGATGTACTTTTGTTCTTGATTTGGTACCTAATCTCTTGGTCCAAAAGGTGGAATCTCCCACCCCAGGAGCCCCCCATACCCCGACCCGACAGGATTTTTGGGAGGAGGTTAATCACGGTGACTCAGTCGGCCCAATGATGGTAGGCCTTTTTCCCGTGCGCACCAGAGGCCCAGCCTTATTTCAGGTTCTGTGACCTCCACACGGCCGCTGCGGGTTTCGAACCTTGGTCACTTGGTCCAAATTTCCCACCACTGAACCAACTGAGCTACCCGTGCGGGTGATTTGGTACCTAATCTCGAGTCTATCAAAGTATGTGTATTAAATTCAATTTTGATATGTTTCCTTTGTCAGTGACTCAATTTTAGAATTCCTTTCCGTCACATATCAGATGGTTTGGTTATAACCTCAGATAAAAAGTTAAGCGTTCATATATATTAAAATAAATAGAGCAGTAACTAGCCACAATGTCTTTTATTTGTAGGAATGGGACCAAGTTCATAGAACAGACAACCCTTCTTCCCTCATTATGATTATGCCGAGCCAGTCCTTAAATCCCAGATTTAATCTCAACTCAAACTACCCAGGTGGCCAGTTCATCTGTCTTCCCCCAAGGAGATGAAGGTGAATATGGTAAACAGATTGGCCTGCAGAAAAAGCGCACAAAATATTCAGATCAAAACTCACAAAGACAAGGTTGAAACTCCTATTATGACAAAGTTATGGAATGAAAAGATTAAATTAAATAAAATAAAAAACTAACATCCATCTCTTCCGTCATTGATCACGAGCCTGAACCCATTTTCATCGAGACCTTCTTGTTTAGCTACAAGCTTCGCAGTGTAAAGAAGGCGACCAAGAATATCACAATGTCTCTCCTCTGCCTTTTGAATTGTATTTTAAAAAGCACTAATATAGTTAGGATAATGTAGAGAAGAAATTAAAAGACAAAAAAAAAACAGCATAACGAATCATGAAAAAGGAATCTCAAAGGTGACAAAAGATTATCTTGTGCACAAGCTGTGTATGACTTAATTCCATTGTTTATATGGTGACCAACTCCTTTATTGTGAACATCAGAACATGAGCATATTCTTATTAGCTAATGATCTCAGATTCCCCACTCCCCAGTACATGGATTGCAGTGATACAGTTTCTCTCTTCAGAGAAAAAGAACCCTAAGAATGCTTTGCATTGTTAAGAATAAGAAGATAGAGAGTTCAAATCTAAACGCAGGAACATCACTAATTATTAATGCTCAACAAAATAAATTAGGAATACCTTAGAGAGCCCAGTTAACCCATCCTTCACCTTTGGAATAAGAAGAATGTGCACTGGAGCTTGGGGGTTTATGTCCCTAAATGCCAAAACCTGTCAAAACAAAAATACAAAGTCAAAATAGAGCCACTTGTAAAAGGAAATGACCCTGTCCCAAAAAAGCCACGTCACAACATATTTTTCCCCAAAAATACTATTACAAATTCAAGTTTAACCTTAACCTAAAAATCATTTAGATCCACGCAACAAGCCGCTTTAGTCTTATTGAACATAAGTTTAGTGGCATATAGGTAATTATTATGTCTGTAGCACATTCATCATGGACTGAGTGTGGCGAAGGCTTGCACTCCCTCCATCAGCAGCAACCTCCGCACCTTAGTCACGTCCGTAGCTGTTGAAGTCGCGAATTAGGTGATGAGTTTGATGCTGATGGAGACAATAGAAGCTTTTCCTATACGTACTTTGGTCGTTGATAGCCACAAGCCCACAACACATTATCTAGAGGACCCTTTAAAAAATGGAATTACATTAGTCTTTAATGTATAACAATGATGAAAACACAAATCAACAAGAATAATAATCTAAACCCCACTTCCCGCCCACAATAACGCATGGCATTCAAAAAGAATAAACGAATCTGAATGACTCAAATTTTATTTACATTTTTACGATGTAACATCAAATAACAAAATTAGATATGTTTGGTTATCCTTCTTAGAAGAATAGAGAATATTACAATGTCAGACTGGATTACAAACTCCCTTAGTATAGTAATATACTAATATAGTTATCATTGTTTTAGATTTCCTATTGAGGCTGGGTTTAACCCATTATCTCTCCATATAAGCATTATAATATACCCCACAAATTATCAACTTCCCAAGGTCAGATTGATATCAATAAAAGCAGTTTATTATTAAGTTATCAAGTTCAACACCTTCCATTGCAATACATCAGGTGCCATAGCACACAATATTTATGAAAATATCGCTCAGAGCATTGGTAGAAAAAATACCATTGGTCCTTTTAGGGTGTTTGGATCTGCTCAATAAAACAAATTTTACTCCCTCAGGAGCAGAAGCAGATTTATGACTTTCGGATGAAACCTAATTAGGCAGCACTTTCAGCTGATTTAATTGCTCCCCAAAATCAGTTTTTGTGGAATTAGGGTAAATCAACTTCAGCTTCTTGAACATTAAGGTTCAAAATAACATTTATTGATTATAAACATAAACATAGATATAAATGTAAATGTGAATGTAAGCAGTAATGTGAATTTCGATATGAATATAAACACATGAATATTAACATAAAACACATGTGATTTTTGGTTTTCATTGACATTTAATTTTATTCAAATGAATGGGTATGGAAGATTATATCTACCCTGATGTTTACCTTTTCAAACATTTCGAGTTTACAAAAAAGTATGAATGTGATTAAAATTATTACATATTTTTCCTACATTATTTCAATATTAAATCTTTGATATGGAAATTATATCATTTGAAATAATTCATTTAAATAGACCTATCTGGTGTAATATTAATATTGTTTCTTAGTACATCATATATCAGGTGTAATTCCTAATTGTTTCTTACACACAAAAACAATTTGCAACTACAAATTAACCAAGCATTTTAAACTGACTCTACATACGGAGTATTTCATAAAATAGAGTCAGTACCAAATATTTCATCCACAATCACTATCGTCCAACAGAAATTAAAAAGAAAATAGGTGAGCGAGAGAAATCAGGACTCAGAATCGGATCCATAGAGGGGCGGGGTTAAAGAATTTAGAGCATCCCCAAAAGTACTCCCCCTAAGAAGTACCTGATCGTCCTCGTAAACAATGTCGGCTGATATTTCCTTGTTTATAATCTTGTTGAATCTGTGAATCAAACATCAACTAAACCTTCAAACAAACAAAAAAGCAAAACATTCTAAATGAAAACAGGAAATCAGAGAAGGGGAACAAATCGCAGCAGCGTGGGTACATGGTGGGAGAATCTGAGGGAACGGCGAGAAGGGCAGCTTCTTTTTCAGAAGCCATGGGAGTTAAGTGGCTGATGAGTACTTGAAGTCTGCTGCTACTCCTCGGGCTGTCTATGCGCATTATATACATCTCATCCTCGAATGCCTTGGCCTATTTATAATGTAGGAATAAGTATGAAATAAATATATTTGCAAAAAAATAAGTATTATCATCCGTATCTCATTAATTGCAACATTGGAATATATACACTTTTTATGTACTTTACTTTGACTACATTTTATTTATTAATGTATATGAATTATTTTTTTTCAAAAATGTTTTAAATTCATCTCATTACTAAGTTTTATAATCTGATTTTTATTTTATTTTTACTAATATAAAATTAAATATAATGACGGTCAAAGTTGTGCGTTGTCAAACGTGAAATATTGACTGTTGCAACTAAAAAGAGATGGGGGAAGTATGAAATAAAGATTTTGTTTTTTTTGGAATGAGGTGACTTATATTAATAAGAAAGAACAAGAGCAGGGTACAAATTGACAAAGAACCAGACTTAGAATCTGTCACCTCGAACGAAGCAACTAGATTCGCTGATCCTGAATTGGGCTTACTTGAGCCAACGACTAGTAAACTAAGTTCCCCATCACCTGACCTATGTTCAAGAGTCTTGTCAAAACAAAAAGCAAAAACAAAATAACAAGCACAAAAATAAGAATTCCTCTCCATCCTCACAAGCATCTCCACTGGTCCGCTATTGTACGGAGGTGGTTCCGGAGGAGGGTGAGCTATGTAATATTGTAGCAAGGAAATTCAAAACCTGAAAAATTCGTCAGAAACCCTATCCTTCTTGCGCTCGCCGACTGCTCCTCTTCTCCTTCATCGGCGAAAATCGGCTCCTCCTTGTCCTTGCCAATTGCCCTCTGTTTATATCGATCAACAAAATCTCCCATCAAATAGCTCCTCTGCTGCACACCAACCTGTTTTTGTTGTTGGAATTTGCCGCAGAAGAACTAGAAGCCTACCAACCTGTTTATATCGTAAAAACTTGCCGCAGAAAACCAAAAACTCGTCCTCTCACTGTGAAGAGAATTTCTGTTGCCCTGCGTTCAAGCACCCCAGCGTCTTCTTGGTTAGATAGGCCACCCCACCGAAATCGCTGCCACAAGCTGTGTTCCGCACTCTTCCTTCGCCGGACTAGCCACGCCGCCGGAAAAACCCCTAGGAAACCCTAGACTTGACCATTGCGAGAACTATATTGTATCATAGGTGAATTAATGAGTTATTCAGATATAAAAAAATATTTTGTTAAAAAAGTATGAAATAAATATACTACTAATAGGTTATGGTAACTTGATAAAATGATTCAGAAATTAGACCTATTCTAGATTGTGAAATTATATTTTAAATTTAGTAAAATAATACTCTTTTCATTCCATAAAAGTCTTCCCGATTTGACTTGGTCACAAGTAAAATTATGATTGTAGTTGAGAAAGAAAATATAAATGAAGGTTACTCTACTCATACACGAATTTCCAAAAATGGAAATGAGAATTTTTTTGGGACATCTCAAATTGATAAGTGAGAAACATTATATAAGACGGAGGGAGTATTACAAATATTGATTGTGCAGGTCATTCCTCATTTGAGAATGTGTTATTTATAGGCAAAATTATAAGATTGAATCACACTCAAAATACTAAGAAATTAGTACATGATATGTATCCTGGAACCATTGGGGAATACGCTGATGAGGTCAACCATGATGTCAGATTGATGTAGTATGATGTTAGTAACGATCTCAACACTTGTAAATCAAAATGCTAATCAATGAGTACGTGAACTGTGTCTCTTGAAAGTCTCAAGGGATATGTCGATGACATTAGCCATGACGTCAAAGTGATGTCGGTAATGACGTCAAAGTGATGTCGCTTAGAAAAATTATTCGGATAAAAATTCACAAGTCGAATTAACTTTTGTTTATTGAATCTAGCACATGCGTTCCTCGGATCAAAACATGCTACACAAAGAAGTAGCTCTGTGTTTTTCTCAATGAAACGATCATTCAACTCCTCATTGACGATCCAAGACCATATAAAATCTCTCAAAACGATATCTATGAAGTTTTTTCTTTTTTTTTTTGAATGTTACAACGTGATCTTCCTGGTGTTACATAAACATCATCCATATTAGGGATATCAATCTCATGTTGGTTACAAAAACATTGATACCTCGTCTAACAAAGTCTCCCAACCACCACTTCACATCTCTTGTACGTAATTGTTGTTTTGAGATGTCAACAAGCCTAATTGCATTCACTATGTTTTGATCTTTTTTTGCATAAGAGGAACTATGCTTTGAGATGTCAACAACCCTATACCAGCATAAGCGGCTCTGATGTAAGCATCGGAAATGCATAGTTAGAATGCTCGTGAAATGGCTAATTGTAGAAACCTTAACCGAGTTGAGGCAGATCAAGTTGATTCGATCTCTTTGAGTAATCAGCTCTTGACATAGTAATGGTCTCGATGCAAGGCCTCACCCTACTATGGTATATGATCAGGGGCGAAGCCAGAAATTTGGTTCAGCGGGGTCAGAAACTAAAGGCATAACATATTTAAAAACTATAAATAGTGTGAATACAAAGAAGTTCCAAGAAAAGAAAGTTGGATAAAAGATAAAGAAGAGTAAACGGATGTACGTGATAATGCCGTAGTGCGTGGTAGTATTTGTCGACGTTCCCTCATATTGTAAAATTTTCTCATTCAACACGCTATCAAAGACATCTTTTTCAAAATATGGCACCAGACAATCACTTAGCATATCATTGCTCATACAATTTCGGAGTGAGGTTTTAATTATCTTCATTGCAGAGAATGCTCTTTTTACACTAGCCGTCGCAACCCGTAAAATCAAAACCAACTTCAGAAGCAAAAACACCAAAGTGTAGTCCAAAGTAAATGTCTCCTAATCTCCACTATTTTTTTAGCTAACTAATCAATACCAACCAAATTAGAGAAGTCGACATCGGATCTCAAATCAATAATATAAGTCTGAAGTTGATTGTCCAACATTTTCAACTCAATCTTAGAAAAATTATTCGGATAAAAATTCACAAGTCGAATTAACTTTTCTTTATTGAATCTAGCACATGCATTCCTCGGATCAAAACATGCTACACAAAGAAGTAGCTCCGTGTTTTTCTCAATGAAACGATCATTCAACTCCTCATTGACGATCCAAGACCATATAAAATCTCTCAAAACGATATCTATGAAGTTTTTTCTTTTTTTGAATGTTACAACGTGATCTTCCTGGTGTTACATAAACATCATCCATATTAGGGATATCAATCTCATGTTGGTTACAAAAACATTGATACCTCGTCTAACAAAGTCTCTCAACCACCACTTCACATCTCTTGTACGTAATTGTTGTTTTGAGATGTCAACAAGCCTAATTGCATTCACTATGTTTTGATCTTTTTTTGCAATGCATGTGACAATTCATTGGTAATGCCCAAAATATTCTTCATTAAGTGCAACGAAAAGATAAAATCAAAGCATTCAATATGGTTAAGAGTTACGAATGCTTTTGTTTTTTGTCTTGCATCACTACCATCTTGCTTTACCTCTTCAAGAACTTCAACAACAATAGAGAACAACTTGATAATGCTAACAAGTGCACCATAATGAGAACCCTAACGTGTATCTCCAGGGTGTTTCAAGGTTGTTTCTTGATTCAAACCAGAACTTGTTTCAATTATTTCCATAGATATGGATTCCACCAAACGATCTATTTGTTTATCTCGCAATTTGTCTCTATGTTTGCACGAAGCACACACAACATTGCATAGTTGTGAGACAAATAAGAAAAACATCAATACAACTTCATTTTCTTTTGCAACACCCACAAGTGCTAATTGTAATTGATGAGCGAAACAGTGAAATAGAAAGCACTTGGGTTCTAATTCAAATACAAAGTTTTTAGGCCATTGAACTAACATCGCATATTGCTTGCTCCGGTTTAACCTTGGCCTCGTATTCTTGAAACACTTAATTTGTGTCATGTTAGGAGATTTACTATGGCCGCCTTAAGTGATAAAAAAGTAGTATCACTTACATGAGTAACTCCAAGAATACGCTCAATAATACACCCATTTGCATTCACATATCGAATGAAAACAATCAACTGCTCTTTCACTGATATGTCTCTAGACTCGTCAACTAATATTCCAAAAAAATCATCTCCATCTTCTTTAAGAATAAAATTTGTTGTCTTCTTTGAAATTGCATTGAGAATATCCTTTTGGATAGGTGGAGAAGTCAACTGGTGATTTCCGGATGCATTTCACATCACTACTTTTGAAACATCTTTATTATGATCGACGAGGAATGTTAAGAACTCAACAAAGTTCCCTCGATTATTGATTCATGGCACTCATCATGTCCACGCAAAGGCCACCATATACAGTCAATGGATGCACTTAAACGTACAAGGTACTCTTTCGTTATTTGCTCTGATTGATTTTCAATACACACTTCAATGTGTTCATTTTGATTCATTAGATCTCGACAACCTTGAGCACATCTATCATGAACACTATCTGGCTTCCCTATGTGTCCTCGGAACCTCTCGACCCCCTTCTTCCAACCATTAAACCCTTCAGTGAAAAAAACATCCCCGCGACCTTGATGTCCACGATTTGCATCTTTAAAAAGGCAACAACATAAACAGTAGGTAGGATCCTATGATATACTATATTCAAGCCAATTATTGAACTCTTTAAACCAAAGAGGATTAAATCTTTTATTAGCTTCGGAAATTACTCTGATAGGAAAAGTATAGTTTTGGGGTGGAAATGGCCCCATTTGTAGATAACGTCTTCGCACAATATCCCTTGTATTTACATCATACAGACTAATACTCTTCCTTTTAGCCAGATCCCCTCTCGAGTGCCTCCATATTATTTTCAATAGGTTGGTGAACCCTCGATATTGTTGGAGCATCTTGATTTGACAAAACCTCTTCGGGTCTATCTTTTCTTTTGTACGATCTGCTTTCATTCATAGTTAAGTGTCAACTGAAAATACAACATAACAAATTACAATAATGTATATCACAGATTCACAGTGACATACAAGTATACAATATATTATAGAGGTGAATCCAATTGAACTACCTACAACTATACAAGCAATAAGAGTTATACGGAATATGAAATATGAAATTAATAACATTTTAAAAAGAAAACATGTCTATCAATTTTCTCTAACATTTATTCAGGGCATTAAATTCAGCTTCAACTCTTCAATAAATAATTTTCAATTTTCATTAATCTACCGATTTCAACTCTTCAACTCAGACTCCAATTTACTCCAATCCGCCGGTTTAATTTTCAACTCTTCAAGAAAACATGTCTATCAATTTAGTCTGCAATCTCCATTTTGAAATGTGAACACCTCAAACTCAATGATTTCTCTAACATTTACTTAATGATTTTCCCTCAATAGTGAACACCTCAAACTCAATGTTTCAACCCTTCAATTATAGCCTCTAAATCTTCAATACTTCTAATTAGAAACTAACCTACAGGGTTGCAATTCACAATTACTTGAAGTCGTGAAGACAAAAGAAGGGTTGGCCGGCTGTAGAAGAACACTAAAGCAGTGGTCTGCCGGTCTGGAGAAGAACACTGCGATTGTCTCCTGTGGGACTGTGTGGCTCTGCGGGTTACAATGATCCCCTTGACCCCCTAGTACCTCCGCCCCTGTATGTGATAATACACTCCATCATGAGTCTCTCCCTCCCTAAGGCGACAAGTCTTCGATATGAGATTCTTATGATCACGTTCACCTCTACGATGCACCGTGATCCGCCATGTTTGGAGAATATAAGACTTGAACCATAAGCCCAAAATGTTCCTCAATGAGAATAAGTGATGTGTGTCCATCGGTTAGCCACATAAACAAAATAGGGAAAAGGGGCAAAACCACCTCTGAAGTTGTCATCAAAGGGAATGTATGCCTTTAACTTTTTTATTGGGAAAGGGGGCAACCACCCCCTTTTTTAACGGCTAACACAGTTAAGGGATTTGGCAACCGTTTGATGCTCCTGTGAATGGTAAATGAAGTAGTAGTACGTAGTATAATTTACATTTATTTATAAAACTAGTTTTGTAAATTAGTTGGAATATAAAAATTTAAAGAAACAATTATAAATACAAGTAAACCATAAAAAGATACAAGGTAATTAAATAATGGTTATACATAAAAGTATTTTCTCTATCCCGCTAAGATTGTCTCATCTTTCCTTTTTGATTCGTCTCATTAAGATTGTCTCATGCCAAATTTGATACAATGTATGTACTTCTAAATTATTCTCACTTTATCAATTCAATACTAACTACATAAAACCATTTTTCTTAATACCTGTGTCACTTCCTCATGTCCCACAATGTTAGTGGGACAAGGGTAGTATTAGCAATTAGAAGAGAATTACTCCGTACCTTGGCTAGAGCCCTTTGGTGACATTAAAATTGACTTAATCAGTTGAATATACTAAAATTGATGAAATTTTGACTGAAACAACTCAATTAACTGAATCTATAGAAACAAATAAATGATATGTAGATTATATTTTTATTAATATCCCCTTTGTCCCATTCAACATTTTCCTCTCTGTTGCATTAACTTTGTCTCACACTATATTTGATAATATTTAGACAATTACAATTCATTCTTTATTTATTCACAATTTATCAATTTAATACTAATAACGTAATCTAACTTTCCATAATTACCGCACTATTCCTCTCATCCCATTTAGTAATATAAAGAAAAAGTTAGATGAAAAAGCTAAAATAGTTGGCTTTAAAACAATTGAGTCAATTTTACTAGCTTCACACTCACTTATTTTGATTATTATATAATTCATTTAAAATAGCCGATTTAAAATACTTTGACAAAAAATAACCGATAAGTCGAAACTCGAAAACATATGCAACACAAAAAATTGTCTATTCGTATTACTTAATATTACTATCAAAATATAAGAAAAATTGACATGTGTAGTATTAACTGAATTTTTCTGGATAAGAATATGACTAGTTATGTTTTAGACAAAAATATGATTAACCACTGTGTGCGAGTAATTGGACAACAGTCACTATTGTGTACTTAAAAATGAAAAGTCACTAGTAGACGATGAGTCACTAGGAACTAATAATTGAATATGTTACTTTTCTAATTGTTTATAACTTTTGTTTTTTAAATATTACTAATGAAAAAATTATGGACAAAAATATTATTTAATAACTTACATGTTATTACTAATTTATTATTACTTTTTTAAAAGTGACTATATTATGTTCGTAATTACATCGTAATAACTAACATGTAATTACTAAATTTAAACACAACCAAAGTAATGATTTTGTCCACTACAATTTGAAGAGTAATATTAATAGAATTTTGACCGATTATATGTTTATATAGAGAAAGTATTGATAATATGAAAATGATATGAAAATGTTTTTTGTTAAAAACACTATTACAAATAGGGATGGCAACGGGGCGGTTCGGGGTCGGGTATACCATTACCCGTACCCACCCCGTTTGATAATATTTTTCCCCGAAACCGCCCCGTTACCCGTCAGGTATTTTTTCCCCGCGGGTAACGGTTTTCCCCGCGGGTAACGGTTTCCCCGCGGGTAACCGTTTTATTAAAAGGTAATTTGTTTTCTTCAAAATTTGTATAAATCCTAAAATGATGATTAACTACTTATAATTGATCACCTAAATTAAAAAAAATCAAAATTAAATAGCACCACTTGTTTTATTAAATGATAATTTTTTTTTCCTTCAAAATTAGTATGATGATTAACTACTTATAATTGACCACCTAAATTAAAAAAAAAATCAAAATTAAGTAGCACCACAAATAAAGTTTTTTAAAACATCACAAAAAATTACAATCTTGTGAACCTAATATTCACAAATTATATATGTCTAGATTCAAAATTATGAATCTCTTACCACATCAACATCAAGAGATTAAGTCTTATCTCGATAGTAAAGTCTAAATATGAATCACAAAAAACATTTAACTTCCAAAAATTCAATAATCATACCCCATCGGCATTCAGTATCTAAATTTAAGAGCAGTAATGTATACAAGTAACATAATAAAAATGAGAAGTTTTTTTCCTGAAATATTACTAATAAAAAATATATGGACATAAATGTGAATATAAGTTATCATGGGTAATATTTATAGTCACTACTATATAACACTTGAATAAAATTATAAACACTAAAGTTACTAGAGTCGCATTTTTGTCCACGACTTTTATTTTGATATAGATTTGGAATTATTTCTAAAAAATGTACTTCTAATACTATGATTTAGGTATTCTAATTTAGAGAAACCAATCAAAATTAATCTAATCATCCAATACACCTCTACAAAATTATTAGCAATTACAAAAATTAAAGCAATCTAGAGTAATGTTTCCCAATATTTGGACTTTAAACTCATATGTGAGCTTTATGAAAGTTATTGGGTGAAAAACAAAAGAGAGTCACAATGTGAAAATAGTGTATAGAAAATCATGAAAATCAAATAATCAATATGAGAAGAAAATAAATCTTGTAGAAGTTAACACATGAAGGATGATGAATGAAATTGAAAATTAAAAATCTAAAATAGTGAATTTTGAGGATCAACTCATCAGAATTGCAAAGGATAGCCGATTAGTTGAATATTTTTCAAAAAATAGAGGAAATAAGTGTCATATACTAATGTACTACTATTCATATATACTTAATATATTAAATAATAAATACATAAACTATTAAAATATGTAAGTTAATTGTGCGGGTCGGGTCATGGTGCGGGTAACCGTATCCAAATAAAACGGGGCGGGTAACGGGGTGGGTAACGGGGCGGGTAACGGGACGGGTAGGTATAAACCCATAACCGCCCCATTACCCGTTTACATAAATCGGGTATTCCCCGCCCCGTACCCGTTACCCGGTCAAAGCGATTTTCCCCATTTTGACCGGTTCGGTTCGGTGCGGGTATCCATCGGGTCGGGTTAAATTGCCATCCCTAATTACAAAGGCATAAAATTATAAAATTTGGCATAAATATACTCGTATTAGCTTAAATAATTGGTCAAAGTTAGATGTCGTTAACTTGAAAAGTCAAATTTGGTTAAGTAAATTGGGACAGAGGTAGTAATACAGTTTATCTATTTTTTATTTATTTTTAAAGTTTTTTATTTTTACAAAAACAACTTTTTTAATTTTTAATATTTTAAAATTGTTGGGATGAGCTTAGATTATTTTTAAAATTAAATGGCTTGCATAAAGGTATTGCATCCAATGAATGAACTTAGATTTTTTTAAATAGGATCAAATGAGTCATATTTTAGAATTAACTAGGTTATGGATATTAAGGGTAAAAAATTAATGTTTACTCCTATAGTCCTATTGAAGGAAGTTTTAATTTTTATTCCTATTTCTGCAATTATTTTTATGTTTACTTCTATTTTGGACAATTTCTCCAAAATTAATTAATAACTACAAATAAACATTCAGTTGAAAAGTCAAAGAAGTCATGTTAAGACTTGCTAACGCCGTTAAATTGCTTCACGTTAAACAAGGGGGGGCATTGCCTGGATTTTAATGATTTTTGCACAAAATAAAAGATTAAGGGCATAGATGCCCTTTTGTGATTACTTCACGGGTAGTTTTGCCCCTTTTCCCAACTAGGGGTGGACTCGAGTCCAGGTTGGGCCTAGGCGGGCCAGCGGTTCAGGAATGGTGGACCCAGGACCGGCCCGAGTAGCCACCAGATCCGGTCCGGGTCCGGGCCTCCGGTTCTTTTTTTTTTTTGCTTTCCTAACCGCCCCCCTCACCCCCCACCCTCCCAACCCCATCCTACCCATCAAGCCCAACCCAGGTAGAACCCCAAAAATGAAAAAAAAAAATCAATTTGGCCTGGGCCCGACCCGGCCGGTTCACCAAATTTGAGACCCGAGCCCGGACCCGCCCTACCCCCGGGCCCCGACCCGACCCAAGTCCAACCATATTCCCAACAAAATAACGTCCCACACAATGCATTTTATTGGTTCAGTATAACTAATAATTATCTCAGAAGTCATTAACCACTACAACTTCTACGGATTACCACTTGATTTAGAGCCGTCACCGTGTATTCGTACGAGTTTGCAGGTAAAAGTAGGATAATTAAATAAATTAAGAATGTCTTCCTATTACCAGTAAAAAAAGACTAGGTAGGCCAAGCCAGTTCTTCCAATATACAAAGGTGCAGCAGCCATCCGCAGCGCACAAGCTTTAGAGAAATACATATATTGAAAAAGAGATTGTGTGGATGCATCACCTTCATGTGAAAGTGAGATGTTATAATGTGACACTAAGTAACAGGACTCCCCTTGCTCTATTTCCTGCAAAACATGTAACACTACTACACATCAAAACACAGCTAATAATAATAATAATACTAATAACCCATATATTATAGTACTTCCTCCGTCCCGAAAAGTTTGAACAAATTTTCTTTTTTTGGATGTCCGAAAAGATTTGCCATTTCCATTTAAAGTAAGGAATATCAAATATATGGCTAAAATTAATTCTCTCTCCTCTGCACAAATTTCAACAACACAGTTTTTACTTTATTAATACACGTGAAAGTCAACTTCGACCAACCTTTTCAGAACGGAGGGAGTACTAGTTACTGGTAGTAAAGCTATGCAGGGTAAAACAATAAATACAATAACTAAGACTGATATAGCAAATATAAACAAGAACTGTTATTTCTTTGCCTCATACTAGTGGTGGGCGTGGTCGGTTACTACATTTTTAATACCATTATCCATGCCATAACTTCAGTTGACCAAAACTTCAGTTAACCAGTTAACCAAAAACCATAATTGAAAATAAGTGGTCAATGACTAATTGTGATAATATGTGCCTCAATATCTAAAATAGGACAGGGTCTCTAACCTAGTGCTATTAATTACATAGTAAATCATTTCAATCTTATCTATTGCAGCAAGACCAATAGCACCAAGATAACGAGCTAGAATCTTAACGAGACATGTAGAAAATGATTGGAGACATCCAGATTAATCAATGTAAGAAAACAGAGTAATTAGGTTAGCTCATCTCGAAGAGAGGATTTACTTTATTGTATGCTGATAAATTACGTGCAGAATACTAGCAATAAAATGAATAAACAAATCAAAATTATATGAGAAAGATGGAGAGGAAATATTTTGTATTTCTCTTGGAAAGAATTGGCGGATATTTTAGGTTTGAGGGGGGACGTGGACGATGACAACAAGAATTGGACAGATACAGATTCAAGGGAGGATAAAGTATCTAGATATGGAGCAAGGTAGCGTGGATAAGAAGAGATTGATCGCCTAAAAGATAAAATTGGATCGACAGATTGCAGCTCGTGGATAGTGATTGAAGAAGAGAGGTAACATTGTGGGCAGAGGCTGGAGATCCAAAAAGAAAAGCAACATTCTCGTTATTCTAGGTGGGGTCTGAGATAGAAGAAGAAAGGCAATGTTCTGTTCTGGGGGAGCGGGGTTTGACTTCAGTAAACCGATGGTTATTATTCAAAATGGTTATCTGACTGTGAGCCGTTTTTTCATTTAATCGGTTAACTGTACCGTGATTTTTTAGAAAAAATGGTACAATTAACCGTGAAAATAGTGATTTTTTGGGTTTCCCACAGTATCTGGTTAAGGGTTTTGTGCCCGCCCCTACCTCATACCAAAATGACAATATCTTGGATCAACTTCAATTTGGTATTGTTAATAACATTTAAAGCCAATATCTAGTTTATCCAACTTTGAAGGTTTGAACTTCTATGTTTATAAAGCCAAAGACTCACTATTTTTTGGGCTTGGTAATATGATGGAATAAAGCAAAATGACTCACTAAACTGTCTACGCTTCTTTATTATGAAGTAAGCGTCAGTCTATGCAATTTTCGACGCGATTTTCACTATGGGTCATTCGGAAACAATCTCTCCGTGCTTTTGTACAGGGGTAAGATTGCGTACATCCGACCCCCTCACCCCACCGTAGGTGGGAGCCTTTGCGGCACTGGGGTGATGATGATGATGGGGGTCTGATCCAAAAGGAGAATAGTTCCCGTAATTTGTGCAGAAATTAGGAAAGTGGTTAAATATCCTTGTGTTATACCTATGCTTGGGTCCAACAATCAACATAGGAGCCTTCTCTACTGATACTACTTGTTGGTCCAAAATAAGCACACTAACAGTTACCAGATATATCCATATGCAATCCATCATATTAAATATTTTAACAAATAATACTCTAGCTATAACTCCGGTACTTGGCAGTTTTGAAACATCTAATTTAAACTAACTAGCTGTCCTTTTGGAGCAAGAATATCCTTAGTACCTACCTGTACTTCATTCAGCAATCAAGATGTAGATAGAAGAGATAAGGTGGAAAATTAGTTTTCAATGCTGTAATGATTTTTTATAAAAAAGAGGTGGGTCAATACAAATCATTTCAACCAAAACAACACTATTGTGAATTGAAGGAGTATACAGAAGTGTGCAGTTTTTTAAGGCAGAATATTTTCAAGTTGAAGGATTTGCAGTTTCCTTAAAGTACTATATGAGCACTATGTAAGGTGTTTACTGATTCAATCACATCTAAAATGCATTTAACTGCCAACAGAACACTGGTGAATTAAATATTTAGCAAATTTGTACCCCTAGCAGCTTATTCTCTATCAACTGATTCTAGGCGAGCCGATTCAAATATGGGTATGTTAAGGGACTGGCTTCCAAAAAACCGCTTATTATGGGTATGTTAAGGGACTGGCTTCCGAAAAACCGCTTATTATGGGTATGTTAAGGGACTGGCTTCCCATAAAGGAGAATGCCCTAGATAGGATTGGATTCATCCCCATATGGAACTGGGTAAGGGACTCCCTGAAGCCAGAGCAAGAACCTAATTTTACAAACTGCAGAAAGCTCAATAGCAGATATAAAAATGCTACAGAAAGGAAAGAAAATGCTTTGGAAAGACGTTCACTTATGTATGACTAATGTTTCTATATCTTTTCAAATGTCCAGATTTTGTAGTACTTATATAATCGAAATATTTTTTTCAATTACTAGGTATGAGTAAGACTGTATAAGTGTATTTTTCCAATCACTCAGTATGACTAAGAGTGAACATTGAAGACAACATTGCGTCTGAACCTATGTTTTATTTTCTTCAATTCTTCAATACTACTTCCTTTTTATTGAAAGGTTCTCATGTTAAAACGGCACGGTTATTTAGACAATAATTAAATAAGGTAATTCGAGTATATTTTGAGAAATAGTTTTAATAGGTATATAATATACTGGGGTTAGAGTTGATAACTGTGATGTTATACATGTATTATTTTTAATATTTAATGATCAAATTGTGATTGAAGATTGTTAATTGTTTCCTAAAATAGAAATGGGAACCTATATATGGGACATCCAAAAAAGGAAATTGGGAACTTTTCTATGGGACTTTCAATGGGACGGAGGGACTACTAAAAGTCAGTAGTGTTTGAAAAGAAAAGTTTTTAAAGGTAAAAATTAGATTATTTGGTATAAAATAACATTTTGTGTAATAGAAAGTAACAAGAAATTAAAAAGCACCCCTCCTCTATTGCAGGCTTCAGTTGGCAATGTTTAGAAACAGAAAACTCTTTCTAGTGTCCTTCAAATATACTAACTTCGCTTCTTTTATCTTCAAAAACGCTACCTTTATCTGTTTTTAAAGAGAGAGAAAAAAAGATGAAAACAGTTTTTTAAGCAATGTAAAACACTTATTTAATCTCTAATATGCATTAAAATGCCATCCATGTGGGTACAAATTTGACTGTGTGATAGTATGTTATAGCATAGCTCAACAACAAAAAAGAACTGTAAAGGGAAAAAAGAAAATCAAATATCTTATTACCTAGCGGCCCATGTATGAAGGGAAGTAAGTCTGGGTATTAGGAGGCTGCGATGACACAGGCCCAACGGATGTTCCTTCAGAGGAGGAAGGCAGCATTGAAGAATTTTGGTATGCCCCCAATCCTTGCATTCCCATATGCTGACCAAAATTTCCAATCACACTAGGACTTAAGGTACCTAAGCCATAGTTCCCTCCAACGGAGGCACCACCTATTGCAGGAGAGGCCAACCCAAGAAGGGCATTTGCTGTCAATCCCATTCCGGGACTTTGTCCCATGAACATCCCCTGCTTCATGCCGATCCCATAATCTGTTTGCTGCAATGGTTGAATAACCGGAGTATTATTGCTGTTTTTGTTATTGGGATACTCTACAAACTTTTTGCAGTTCAGCTGGCAACCTTCAAAAAATTTAATTGGCTCCTCTAGCACCTTCTTAGCACCTTCTGCGGTTTTATAGACAAAAATTGCAAACCCCCTGGGTTTATGGGTCAACGGATCAAACCCTGATGGCCCTTCCTCGATCTCACCATATCTAGAGAAGAAAGAACGGATATTCTCTGCACTTATATTGGGACCGACGTTGCCAACATATATTTTCCTGCTTCCTACATCAGATCCGCCAACTGAGCCTAATGCTGCGAGCTGGCACGAGATTGTACGACTTCCTATCTTCTTCTGGGGCTGTTTCAGCGCCTTCTTAGCGGAGGACCTGGTCTTATAAAGCACAAACGCGTAGCCTTTGGCCTTTCCAGTGACCTTATCAGTGATGAGTCTACATTCCTCAATTTCTCCGTAACTGCTAAAAGAGGCGCGCAGTGTATCCGCTGTGGTATCCCAGCTTAGGCCGTGGATGAAGATTTTTCGATGAGTCGGATCCGTGGTGGCTAATTGGGTAACCCGGGAAAGCAGAGATGGATCGTTCGAAGCTGCCTCTTTTAGCAGAACGATTATCTGGTCTTTTGCCAAGGGTTCGAGAAGTTTTCTAATTTTCTCTCTCTTAGAAGATTCATCTCCCTCACCGTTTTCGGAAGAATCAGAATCTGACTTTGATTCTTCCTCCTCTACTTCTTCTTCGTCTTCGGATTCTTCTCCTTCTTCTTCTTCGTCAGACTCTTCTTCTTCAACCTCTTCTACTTCTTCTACTTCTTCTTCTTCCCCCTCTTCTTCTCCTTCTCCTTCTCCTTCTGCATCATCTTCTTCCGATTCTTCCTTGGGATTGCGCTCTTCAGATTCGAGTTTCCGTTTCCTAGCCATGGCAGGAGTAGATGCTTCTGCATCATCATCTTCCGATTCTTCCTTAGGATTGGGCTGTTCAGATTCGAGTTTCCGCTTCCTAGCCATGACAAGAGTAGATGCCAATGGTGTTCAGTGATTCTAGGGTTTAACTCCGGCCGGGAGATGAAGATGGGTATTAAATAAACTGGGCTAGAAGACTTCGGACAGAGTCTCCTAAGCTTAACCCAAATCTCTGAAGCCCAACCCAACTCCTAAAATCTGGGCACATAATGCAAAAAAAAATGATGACATGTGCAAAGTTTTGACAAGATCAAAGACATCATAAGGGGACAAGAGTTCACGTAAGAAATCGGATTTGATATCACATTTGGTCTAGTATAATCAATGACCAGCCCGGTATGACTCAGACCTAGAGATCATACAAAATTAAACAAAGCAAGAAAACTTGGAAAATTGGATTTTATCTTATAGCTGGTCGGGTATGATGACATACACGTTCGGATATGATGACATACCCGTTCGGGTACGACTATATTTCATAATTTTCGTAATTAGTGTCAAGTATAGTGATCAGACATCTGACCCAGCAACCTCAAAACGCTTGTAAAACACTTCTTTCCTTTCATCTTGTATGAAATCTTTCATATTCTTTTATCGCATATTAATTCATCCAAACTTAAGATTCATTAATATTACTAAATTAAAACAAACTAGTAAAATACTTTGTTGCACCATAAATGTGCAATCACTGTAAAAACAAATTGTAAAAATTAATCAAAGTAAAAACTTAAACACAGAAAAACTAACACAATCACTCACCAAATGAAATACTTTCTTTATCTCTTTTAACTTTATTATCTTTCCTTTTCAGAATGTCCCAAGAATTTTATAATTATCTTTCTCAATCAATAAATTTGTGATTCCTATGATTTCTCTCCACTCGACACAATTACAATCACACAATTTTATTTCATTATTTTTGGGCATGTAAAACTTACAAAGTTTTAAGGGATGGAAAGAGTATAACACATTATTAGTTACACTTAATTTGTCTATCAGAATCGTTAATTCCACTACATCTATTTTATTTAAACACTTAATCCGTTCTTTTATGTGTTTTGTAACCTCTTAGGTATTTTGTGTCGTATAAGAAGAAAATAATTTCCTTGTAACCTCTTAGAGCTAAGTGGAGGGCGGGTATTCATGTGGATGAGTGATCTCGTATCATCTTTTCCCCTCATCTTTTTTCCTTGTTTTTTATCCTTATATATAAGCATTATATGTATCCTTTTTATTTTATCATTTTTATGTATATTCATCTCTTTTTATATTATCTTTTTATAATAACTTATCTTTTTTATCTTTATTTTCTTTCTTTTCCTTTTGGTGGTGATATCATGTATCGATTCATGTTAGTCGACCCCAATATCTTTTGGGACTAAGGCTTGGATGTTGTTGTTGTAAAAAGAAAATAATTTGATCAATTCAAATCGTGTGGGGTTATTAAAAAGTGAGAAACATAACGAACAAACAAGAAATAGAAAGTAGTTTGTAAAAAGTATAATGTACTTTTATACATGAAAATACTTACTAAAGAGCAGCACAAATAATAAAAAAGATTGAGGTTTTGACCTAAATATTATTAAAAAGCATAATAGCAAAAATGTGACCTTTTTTCGAATTTCCGAAAATGTGACTAATAAGCATTAGATTTACTAAATTACCCCAACTCAGTCTCTAGTGACACTGCCACAGTGACACTGCCACAAAACGCCGCTACAGCCTACAGTGACGTCACTACAGCCTAGTGACGCCGACACAGTGACTCTAGCCAGCGAGTTTGGCCACAGTGACATAGGTGCAGTGACTCCAACCAGTGAGCACTGTCGTCTGGCCGGTTACCACCGTCTCCCATCCCCCACCATGGTCCCTGCACAACCTCGGTGACTGCCCGAGTACCAGCCCAACCCCTGCCCCTACCACCGGCCAACCACCGTACCACCACCGCTCAACCATGGCAATCCTAACCAGATCTGGACAACTACCCACCGCAGCCCCGCACCCGCTCCCCTCGCCAGCCCCAACCAGTTCAATGTAGTCCCGTCCATCCTGCCCCCTAAACCACCACCGACTCACCCCACACCCCGTCGCAACCCTCGCACACCTCTGCGCCACCCTACAACGACGACGACAAAGTGATGACACAGAATCACAGTCTCCCATCACGTCCAACTACCAGACGCTAGTCCTATCCCCAACGATGCCTATTTCCGCTGGAAATTGAAGATACCCTTTGATGTAGTCCTCGCTCGCCATCGTCGGGTCTCCGATCCACCATCGCCACGCCGACGCCATCGTAGGTTTTGAGATCCTTCGAAGAAGACGAAGAGAGAGAAAATAGAAGAGTGACAGACTTGTGATGTCAGCACGGATCATGGACGACAACGATGTGAAGGCGGCAGCGGCATGGAGAAGGTGACGACGTGCGGTGGCTGTGGCCGGTGGAAGAAGAAACAGAGGTCTGCTGCAATGTTGCACAAGGGAAAAGAGAGAGAAATTAGGGTTGCAGGGCATTTAGGTCTATGGGGCATTTAGGTCTATGCATACTTTTTAGTAACTTTTTTGTTCAAACGGAATTATGATCATATTTATGTCTACAATCACTCTAAAAGTAATAGCCAGTTGATGGAGTATATGGATCTGAGCCCCCGGACCCACATACTCGGAAGAACAGAAAGCACAAGACAACAGAGTGGCGCCCTCGTCGGCCAAGACGCCCCCGTCGGCCGAAAAGGGGCCAACTCGGATTATGGTCCTGAGTCCAAGGAACCCGGGTGCCCTCGTCGGCCGTGCCCTCGTCGGCCACGCCCTCGTCGGCCACGAAGACCTCACAGAATCGGATTTTATACTTACTCATTTGTACAGCCCATTAGTGGCTTTGTATTCGGCCCAGTAGCGGTCCAGTTGTAAATGGGCCTCCCAAGCCCAAGGCTCGGGAGCCCAACCCTAATTTTCTCTATAAATACTCCCTTTGGGAGTAGTTATAGGGGTTACAAAATCATTCTATTGAAGCACATTATTGCATTTCTCTCTCTAGCTCTCACTTCTCTCTAGAGATATACTCTATCATTTGGTGCTCTCATTGAGAGCTAGAACAATCAAGTTAGCACCCTTCGTCGCTACCAAGCACAGCTAACCACTGATCATGGGGAGAACTAAGTCAAACCGCAACCTCGTCAGCAAAGTCATCCCTGAGGACCAAGAGCCCAGGGAGCACGATGAGGACGCTACGGCCGACCAGGCCGACGGAGGGGATCTCTTCCAGGAGGCCTTCAACCTCACAACGGACCTCCGCAACCAACTCAACGGTGGCGCCCCTGATGCCCGCCTCGGCTTGGACAAGAAGCGAGCTGAAAAGACGGATCACGCCCCGGCCCAGCCTATGGCCGCGGCCTCTCCGTCCGTAGATCCCCAGGTCCAGGCCGCACTATCGGCTATCATCGCCAGCTTGGCTCAGAACCCCACCGTCCTCAGCGCACTCTTGCCAAGGACTAGGGGGAACGTCACTCAACCTCCTCAACCCCAACCGTTGGCCGTCCAGATTGGCAACGACGAGGGGGTGGTGCCCCAGGACACGGCGTCGTCCCACTCCCACCCTGCTTCCCCTCTTCGGCCCGGGCAGACCCCAGCGCGTGGAAAAGCCTCTGCCTTCAATAGGCTAGGTGACACGCGCCGTCGTCCGGTTTCGGAGAGGATGGCGGGACGGATTGGTGATCCTCGTCCTGGCTCGCCAAGGGAAAGCTTGGGGTCTGTGTCCCGGACAGCGGACCAGCCCCGCCCGGATAAGGGCAAGGGGAAGTTGCACGAGGATGACGTGCGTCACCAGATCAACGCGGCTCACAACGAGCGCCTAAGGAACCAGCCGGGCGCCGCTGCGGCCAACAGGGACCCCCGGGACGAGGTCATCGCCCAACTGGAAAGGAGGCTGGCTCAGATGGAGGCCAAGCAGTCGGCCAACATCCCTACGGCCGGCGCCTCCAACGACCCCGGCCTCAACGCGCTCATGAACAAAGTTAGCACCCTGGAGAGGGAGCTGGCCGAAGGGCGGGGTGACCCCATCATCCAGGTCAGGACTAAGACCCCTTTCACCAACAGGGTCCTCTCGGCCCCCATCCCTGAGAAGTACAGGGGGAATGCCATCAAGTCCTACGATGGCCGGTCGGACCCCCAGGAGCACTTCAGCCGTTACCAGAACAACATGCTGATGGTGAACGCGTATGACGAATACCTCTGCCGTTGGTTCCTCTCTACTCTCGAAGGGCCAGCGTACGAGTGGTTCAACGGGCTCCCAGAAGGAAGCATCGACTCATGGCAGGATCTCGCCCAGCGCTTCCTCACTCACTTTGCCGGGAGGAAGCGCGCCAAGAAGTATTTTACCCACCTCCTCTCCGTCAAGCAGCAGCACGAGGAGTCCCTCCGGTCATTCATCGATCGGTGGACGTGGGAGACCGAGGAGGTCGAGGGGGCCGATGAGCGCACCCTCCTCGCCTTGTACCAGGGAGCCCTCCGCAGCTCCCCGTACGCCAGGAGCCTCATCACCGACCCCCCGAGGTCGTACGCCAAGGCGCTCCAGCGCGGAGGCTTGTATGCCGACGCCGACGAGCTCCACAATCACAAGAGAGAGGGGGGCCATCCCTCCAAGAAGACAAATCCTTCGCCGGCCCCGGGTCCGTCCCCGGCTGGCCAGGGTGCCCAGGGCCGTCACGACTCTGGTGGACAGAGTAAGAAAGACCGGCACTGGCGGCCGAGGCTGGAACGGCCGGGGGTAACCCTCACTCACCCGGTCGGCACCATCCTCGATTATGCCGAGAAGCACGACCTCATCGAGCAGGCTCCTCGGCCGGCCGAGGAGATCCTTGCCATCCAGCAGGGCGGCACATACTGCCGGTTCCACAAGAACTCGTCGCACAACACCGACGAATGCATCACACTGAAGAAGGCCATCGAGCGCCTTATTCGCCAGGGGGAACTCTCCCAATTTGTCAAAGGTGGCCCACGCAAAAACACTTGGGTAAACACCGGCAAACATGGGGGCGAACCCTCCGCGAAGAAGCGGGAGATTGGTAGGCTCAGCGACGACGAGGACTTCGAGGAGCCTCCGCTGAAGAAGAATCACATCCACCTCATCGTAGGTGGAAACACTGG